GGCAGTCACTTTTAGAGGTTCAGTAAGACCATGTCTGTGTCCTGGTGAACATGCAGATCTTTATAACGTGTTTTTCAGGCTCTATTGATCGTTTCCAAGTTATATTCAGTAATAAGCACTGACTGAGTGTCTTTTCACAAGAAATAGATTCTTGTGTAAAGGAAGAAGGAGGATTTATTTCAGGTGCCATGTAACAATAATATTTCACAAGATTTAAAAAAAAATTTTGCAAGGTTTTCTCATGAATGAAAACCGTAAGATAGTAAGCAATAAAACCACTCTCTGACATTTTAACTATCTGTATTATACTGATATCGGTCACAGTCTACTTTAGTTAAGATCACAAAACAGTTTCCTTTCTAAGCCTTTGTAATTCAGTCGTTTTTTTTTCACCCTGTTGTAGCTTATGAGAAAGTTGCTTCTATCTGTAGAACTTTGTTCATGTATTGCAAGAGGTTCAGATGAGTCTCTTAGCACAAGCCATTCTGAATTATTCACTTTATTCCTCAGAACCCTGACCATCTCCAGCTTGGTCAGGATGTCTGTCAAAGTGTTACAGGAAAACCTGTGAGCTGGGAAGAGGGACATTCTTCCTTTATTCTTCCAGCAAAATGTTCTGTTAAAGTCTGTGTAGAAGGGGTGAATAGAACATAGTTACCTTCTGAATTTTGTTTGTTGGCCTCTGCTGAATGGCTGTGGAGGCATCCAGTAACCTCTGGATGCTTTGTGAAGTTAAAGTACACTGGCTTCAAAAGAAAAAGCAAGAGCCAAGCTGAAGAGACCATCTGCCTTCAAATTAAAGTTAGCAAATAAACAGCCTCCCCAGGCGAAGAAAACAAACAAAAATAATACATTTTCCTACTGAAGATAAAAATTTTTAGATGTTGGTGAAAGAACATGTAAGATTGTCATCAGAGAACCTTTACCAAAGGAAAAAAGATGTATTACTGAATAAAAAGATTTTGCCAAATGTGATAGAAGCAGAATAGAATTATAGAACTGTCCAGGCCGGAAGGGACCTCCAAAGGCCATCTAGTCCGACCTCTCCACAGTCAGCAGGGACACCCCCAACTAGACCAGGTTGCCCAGGGCCTCGTCGAGCCTCACCTTGAATATCTCCAGGGATGGAGCCTCAACCACCTCCCTGGGCAACCTGTTCCAGTGCTCGACCACCCTCACAGTAAAGGAAATACGAAAATAGGAGTAGGAAATAGGAAAACTGTTACCTCCCTTGTAAAGCAAGTAGGAAATCTATCTCCCAATTCAATGACTTTCTGATCATTTACATGCAAGGCAAAGCTGTGGCAGAAAGTGATGATTCTTGAACTTCTGTCATTATTTACGGTTTGGCTGGGGTCTATGAAATGCCATGTGATAATCTAAGAGTTGGTGAAAAAAGATAATGTTGATGAGTAGATGTTAATTGTGGGCACAAATCTGAGTGCTTCTTTTTGATGTAATAGTAGCTACGAATCTATAAACTAAGAAAAGGGTAATCTCCCCCATATTACCAATTGCTGATTATGGTTCCAAAATTTATGGTGCTGAATCATTTCTGTAGCATAGTGAATAGAAAGCATAACCACCTGCAATAGATTATGTTGATTCGTTTTGCTGGCAGATGTGAGAGAGCATCATTGCTCATTAGATGGTAAGCTTAATTGGTTTTCTCCAGAATTACATAGACAATATTCTCTTAATCTGTTCACACACAGGGTACTTAATTTCAAAATCCCTGAATTATTGTTTAATTGTTAACATTTTTTCAGATAGTCGTTACTCTCTGGGGTTGATTTATAATAAAAATGCATCTTTGTCCTTTATGTGGGAGGGAATTATGGACAAAAAGTCATATGGGAAACACCCACTGTGACCCGCCTCCTCCACTTAGAGTCAGTACATGTTTTGCCTGAGAATGGAGATTTTAAAGACAAGCAGTTGATGAAAAAATTCCAGGGAGGAGGAGGGAGATGGAGAGAAGGTCCAGAGCATTCAATGATAAGTGACTAGAATCAGTGATCTGAGATTTCCCATCTCAATTGTACTGTTTTTTCAAGTACAAAACCCTGCAAGTCCCCCCCACTGGGGTTAAGTTCTTAGGTCTTCTAGGCTCCAGGCTGAGCAGAGATGGTTTTAACGCCCACGTTCCCTCACTTCCCTTCTGAAATGCTGGCCCACGGTGAATGGGCTCCACTTGCTGTTGACTGAAGGCAGGGAGGCAAACCCACAACCATGTGCTGTCGGAGATGCCAGATGGCCAAAGTCACAGCTGTAGGGCTCACAGGCAATTACAATCACCCAGAGTTTTCTGTGAGCCTCTGGCCCTGCTCACTTCTGTGCTTAGCTCATGTAGTAGTACATAGCCCATACACTTCACATCCCACTCTGTGGAGCAGCTCAGAAGTGCTACAGCTCGTTAGGTAGCCTGTGCCTCTGCTGTTAGTGATGACCGATCTCACTGCTGGCTCTTTCCTTTTCAAAGGACCCTGATATCCTTTTAGAAGATTATTTTCTCAAGAAACACAGCCTGTGCCATGTTTTGCAGGGAGGCATGTCCACTCCATGAGCCTGCTTCTTCCTTTTGCAAGCGGGGTGTTGAAACAGTATCATTTGCATCTGGTGAAATTCTGCGCTTTCTAGAGGTTCTAGTGAAGGCCCACGGTAGTAGAAGTCAGTTTCACCTGTCGACTGTGGTATTTTCTGGAGCACTACGTGTAGTGTATGTAAAATGACATGAATCTCCCAATGCTTTTTAACAGTTTGAATTAATTCCATATCACTGAGGAAGTTTCTATAAAAGATGATTTTCTGAAAAGAATTCCTTGGCTGAGCTTTCCAAAGCAAGTCAGAAGAAATTTCAACTCGTGTGCTGGTCACCAGTTAACTTCAATAAAAGACTTGCTTTTAAATCCCCAGGGCTGCTTTGAACATGTGCCTCCTACTTGCTCTGCTACTCCCTACACCTCCAACCTGTGTTTCTCTGGCAAGAAAATAAGTAGCTCCGATTTGGATAATAAGCCTGTATTTGTCATGGGACTAGTTCCTTGAGTTCTCTGACACCAAGAAACTGGAGAAAGGTATGAGGATATTTTTTGTTAGAATATTTCCAAATAGAAATGGGTCATTGCTGTAATGCTAATGAACGGATGCTGTAGTTAGCTTTCAGAAGCATGGAATGGTTTAGTCTCTTCCAGTTTCCTCTCTCTGGAAGCTGAATTTGGCGATCGCTGAAATGCAAAGGAAACAAGAGAAGAAGAAACATTTATGCTTTCTTAAAAAATCAGGATCAGAGATTTGGATCATATATAAAAACACCTATCAGTGCTTTTTTTTTCCAGTTTATCATTATATGATCTGACTAGGTCAGAGACTATTTTGGTGGCCAGATTAGAAAATACATAGGTAGTATTATCATGAACAAAGGAGACAAATGCATAAAAATATCACAATCCTTGGGAGAATTAATCATGGAAAAAGCACAGCTGTTGTGCACTGGAGGGAGACAGGTGTCGGGCTTTTTTCAAAGCTTCATACTTAGGCCCACCTTGATTGAGCTCAAGAAAAATGCCAGGAATTTGTCATAATAGAGTGCAAGCTTGCCATTAAAAAAGGAAAATGAAACAGAATAGCCGAACAACAAAAGTGCCACTGCTATAAAAAGATATTGTCTATAAATACAGTTCAAGATGATTCTATAAATAGTGATGGATAAATCTCAGAGCAGGAGGGGGTCCCACATTTCAGGGGAGCAAAGACAAGCCCTTCAGCTTATCAGGTTCTTATAAATCACAACTGTCTCAAAAGAAAGGACAGTCCAGAGAGCTCCAGAAAGACTTGTTCATATTTTTATGTTGCAAGCCTGCAAATAAGGATTGGTACCAGAAAATGCTTGAGTAATTTAATTGGTTTTCCAATTTCTGGTGCCCTTCTGCCAGCTGGCCTGGTAGGACACAGAATTTTGTGGAACAGCTTGCCACACCATTTGCAGGACTGCTCTCTACAGATGTCGTCACCTTAGGTGACATCAGTGTATCAGTTTACAAAATGTGTCACATGTATGCATAATATCTGGCTGTAAAGGAATCTGAAAGAAATCTAAGACTTTTTAGAATGACCATACTTCTCAAACGAGGGACATGGGCATGCCTCCATGGAGATAGAGAACTTCATGGTAGCCAGTCAATCCACACAACACAGCATTTGCAGTATTAGTAGGAAATTAAATAGTTTTGAAGACAGTAATAGTGCTTTTGGTCCAGAGGAGTTTCAAATGTACCTGCTCCCCATACTGAGGTTTCTGAGTGCAATGTGGGCACAACTTGCTCAGCTGGACCTGCAGTTCCTCTCAGATTCTCTTTGTGAACTCCCAAGTGGAAGCAGAAGAGTTTCAGCCATTACATACTCTCCAACATCCTTGAAGCAACTTAAAAAATAATACCCCAGGTGATTTCCTGACTTACTCTTCCTTCTCTCTAACAACAGCGTACTATTCTTGTGTACTTAAACCAACCCTGCACCTCTTGTTTTCTGTCTAAAATGATATTAATATCCAAGAGGATAGAAAGGTTGTATCCAGATTACTATTTTAGTTTAGAGCAGCAATGTGCAGGCCCTGGCTGTCCCTCTTCCCAAGGGCCTCCTGGTGCGTGGCACTATAACCTGTGATGAGGAAACACAGATCAGATGCGTACTGAGCTTATGTATTAAACCAAATGCACAATGGGCATGTTTTTTCCAGAAGACCAGGCTAAGGTTAGTATGAGGTAAAACCCCCAAAGTGCTTTTAATGAAAGGGCATGAGCACCAACTGCTTTGATTTATGGATCTGTCCAATAGGAAGCTATTTGATAATGTATGTAGACACAGCCAGAGCTGATATGTGTGGTTCATGTGGAACATCAATATTAGGTTCCACTAATTGCCCACTAACAGGAAAATAGATTTCTGAGGTCACATACTCCTTTCCCTTCTTCTAGGACACTACACTGTCTTGATGTTATTAATGGTTGAATTTGAGGACCTTATTAATTATTCAGCTAAAATCCATGCCTGTATAACTGAAGCTAACTGTTGAGTCTAGGTGAGTAAACGGTGTTAAGGATTGAAAACACCTTTTTTGTGAATAAACATATGAACAAAGTACTGTACCTCACTACGTTGAATCTTGTTAAATAGTATGAGAAAAAAAACCCCACAGCCATATAACAGACATAACACTGCCAACCTGAAGTATGAAGGTTTTTAGGTTTGTTAAAATATAAGACTATTTGAAACGGTGAAACATCTTGGGATCTTGATATTTGCTTTCCTGCTTCCAAGTCATTAGGGTCCATTTACATCACATTTTCTATCTTTTGTCTACAATTATGTGGCTTAAAATTATTTTTTTCTTAAAAAAAAAGTTATATTCTCTTTTTTGTGTTTTCACAATAAATGCTAATGAAAAGTCCTGACAACATCGGAGCCAACTCAGCAGCATCATATGGTCTCCTGGTGACTCAGACTGGACCAATGCCCTGACCTCTTATCCCAGCTATAGCAACTTATGTAAGTAAAAATCTCTCGTCAGTGCAAGTAACTGTTCAAGCAAGTGACTCCCACTGTGAAGGAAAATGGGCCGATTATGTAAATTGTCTTCTCTAGGTAAAGCTTGGAAAACTTCTCTCTGTGGGAGCAGTCCGCATGGGCTCCGATCAATAGCAGGACTTGCAGCAGAGCACGAGCAAGGATATCTACTGGAAAGGTGAGCTGTGGTCACAAAGCTACTGTATGAAGATTTCTCAGGATTAAGACTCAGTTTTAATTTAGAGTAATTTTTATTACCCCCCAGCTGCTGGTACATGAAACCTCCTGCTGCCTCCTTCCTACACAAAGGTTCAGGCAGAATTACCTTGGCCATTTTTAAACCCCCCGGAGGTGCCTGCAAGGCACTGGTGAAGATGCTGATGCCATTTGCATCAGTGCAGGAACGGTGAAGACTTCCCCCTACTACTGCAGAAGTCTCTATTAAGCCCATTTACTCTCCAAGGCACATGAATTAGGTGTATGTGCTGGATGACCTGCCACTGAGCAGACCCAGGCTTCCCAATGACCCTCCTTCTTAAGGAGATGGGGGCAGATGATATCTCATCAGGCAGCTCTCAAAGCTGTTGTTTGGACAAGCAGATCACTAGCCTACTGTGTTCAGTTCTGCAGCTTGATGGCCACACGGAGTGGCCTGCATAGCTGAGGGTAGTTAGAGGATTTACACCCTGAAGGAAACACCTTCCTTTTCCATAGAACTATGTGTGGCAAAGGGATATTGCCCTTTCAGGAGAAGAGAGTCAGCTAGGGATTGCATCGTAAATAATTCACTTTTGACTTGTCTCCTTATATGTTTGCAGTATATGCTGTATTTATTTTAACTGGAAGAGTTGTGTTCCCCCTAAAGTTGAGCTGTGATTTTGCTCAACAGCGAAATAGGAGGAAAAAGTATCACTTCAGGTTTAAGGGTATTAAAACCCTGGAATTACCTGAAATAACCATGGTAACAAGCTCTGAAGTAATGGCAGTTGCTCATATTACCATAGAAACAGGACTTAAAAAGTGGAAATTACCTATAATTTATCTCTGTTGCTTACAGTGACAATAATATAACATGTATTTTGTGAAAAATACACACATGTTTTGCCTATAGTAACTGTCAAGGAGTTATTCAAAAATTATTTAAAGGTATGCAAAAGGTACCTTTTATTACTTTGTTTCCATGGTTATTTCTTGTTATTAGTCCCCACAAGAGTGACATACCAAAAAAATGGACAATTTAATAAAGTGTAAAATTTTGTAGGTATTGATGTAACACAAATGAAAGATAAAGTTAGATTGTGTTAGTCTTAAACAGGCCAAAAATATCTGTTGTAGTTTTGATAAATAATAATTTCTTATTTAAGCAGCTGTGCATCTGTACTATGCACTTGCTGAAATGGCAGTAGGTGTAGTGGACCACGAGTTGGTGACAGAAGCCCCAGAGAGATATAAGCCCTTTCTTTGGTCCTTAGACTCTTGTGGGTAGAGAGGGGAAGAGAGGGGACTGCGTGGAGAAACTGGAGAAGTGAAAATGAAGTACAAAGTCCTGGTAAGATCAGGCATCTCCTTGCTCCTATGCTTTTCGGAGTGGCTGTTAGTGAAAATGGAATAGGAAGATGTTGCTGGGCGGCTTGAAGTCTTATAAGTGTTATAGCTCTCTCTCCTGCCCGTGATGGCAGAAGATGCTACAACCCCAACAGCTGCAGTCATTCAGACATTAGGCTGATTTAGAAAACTGAAACAATAGTCTGTTCCCTGTGTCAGTCTTGCCTGCTTTGAAATGTGAACTCTTGCTTCTTGGTAGTCTGAGATGTTACAGCCAAGTTCTCTGAGTTGTTTGACTTGGGTTAGGTGCTCTGCATGGCTGGGGGGTTTAAATCGGAAAAGCATTTTTTTCCTAAGCTTTTATGCACATGGATTATCAATTTCAGTAATGTGTCTTTAGTTTCATTTACAGCAGGGGAGGTAACATCTCCTATTTATGTCAGTGGAGGGTGAATTTGTTGCTCTCCTTGCCTTTGTTGGCTGAAGTGAAAGCAAGCTGTGTGTGTGCAAATCTGTCAAGGCTGGATGGCAGTAGAGCAGGTGGTCAGAGGTCATTGTGGACAGAGAAGAGGAGGACCGCTGTGTATGTGCATGTGTGTAAAATGATGAAGTTTCAGCTAAAAAAATTGATGATTTCCTTCTCTATCAGTAGAGCCCTCTTAATTGTAAAAGCAACTCTTAATTGTAAAAGCGGAACATAACCAATGCTTCTGAACTGCTGCAATGATAGGAATTGAGGTGGACGGTGGTAAATGAAGAAATCCAATCCTTGTTGTGCAGTGTTGGGCATATAAGGAACCAGCCTTGACAGAGATCATAACATACACAAGAGCTCTATGATACGGTCAGTAAACAATCCACAACCCCTTCCCTCCCCGCAAAACAGCACAAAAAAAAAGCCCCAACTGAAAAACAATACCTTCCCCAAGCATTTAAGGTCATCAGGCTTCAAGCAATCACTACAAGGTGCTTCTTGTTAGCTATGCTAATGCTGAAAACTGTATAATAGGGACTACTGATAATTAACGCTATGTAAATCTTAATAACAATAGCTGGTTAGAACAGCAAGATTTCACTCTTCCTATTAATGCCTGCAGATCTGGGGTTAGATTTAATTGAATTCCTAAGGGAAGAGCATTGTCAATTATTAAAATTATTTAATCACAATTAAATAATGCAATTATGGCAGTAGGGAAAAATAGTTACCAAAACACATTTTCATGTTAGAATGAAAGATTCAGCTTTGATAATTCCTCCAGCATTTTATAAACTGCTTGTGTTTATGTAGTAATGAAAAAATATAAACCGGCACATATTTCATTGCAGAGGAAATAAATGAAGCCAAGTCTGAGGAGGCTTGTGTTTAATCATGAAATGTGCAACATTTGGCTGTAGTGAATTAGCCATTTGTCTTACTAATGCAAAGCTTGGAGAGAGCTAGAGGCACAGTGGACAAATTCAGTGGTTTTGCATGTGTGACCTCTAGGGACCTTGGTAAAAATTCTGCATGGGCACAAAAAGACCTGGTTTCAGAGTCCCTTCTTAATTAATGTGATCCTGAGGTTGCAGCCACACCTCCCTTCCCCCTCTGTATCGTTAGCATATCAGTCAAAGAGCAATGTATGATCTGGGTCGGAAGAAAATAAAGGCGGCACAATGAGGTTTTGTTGTACAGTGATTTGTCATATGGCTTCCACAGATAAGAAATCCACAGTAGCACTTACCAGAGTTGCAGCATATCTCATAATCCATAGTCTCTCCTCTGCGTCTTTAGCAGGGCTTGCTTTGCTGTAGGGCTTGTCTTTGTGTAAAAAGGTGGGGTAAGGGAGAGAATATTTGCTAGGTTTCAGTATCAGAGCACTCAGAAAACTTTTTTCCTTCCAAAAGTGAATGTTTTGATTAACTCATTTCTTCTTTCATTAACAGAAGTTGTATCGATCAAATCACTTTTGAAAAAGGCATTAATATTTGAAGCCTTCTTAGCTAGGAAGGCTGCAGTGATATTAATCTTTTCATTTGTATAACACCAGTTAAATTATCAGTATTCTACTCCATCAGGCTTTCCAGAAATCCACGTGTGCTCTTCATGTGTCCTAGCAGCACCAGTTCATTTTTTGACTGAATTTAGAGTCTGTGAATTCAGTCTTGTTGATCCTGCCTACTTGAATTTGGTAGCAAGGGCATTTCTGCCCAGATGGGTACCCTTGTCTTTCTGTGTTGATGCAGCTGGTTGTCTTGCCTGCAGCTTTGTTTTACTTGGTTTAGCTGTGACAGTGGCTTCTTTTACTGACTAGGTGTCTATGGCTAAATTTTTTTTAAATCTTGTTATCTTTGTATGTACAACCTTTTATATAATTAGCATTAACAAGCAGCTATTCTGAGTAGTATCAGAAATTTATGACTAATGTAACTGATGCAGTGTAAAGAGGCCTTGGTAATTGGAGATGCAGGATGTGGCATAGAAGAGTACTGCAATGGGATAATAAGAGATGTGTCTTGGCTAGGGAGATGCAACAAATATTAACAACTTGCCAATCATTGCATAAAATTACCAGACTCTTTTCAGTGGTTCCAGACTCTTCTCAGTGGTTCCCACCGAGAGGACGAGGGGCAACGGGCACAAGTTGGAACATAAGAGGTTCCACTCAAATATGAGGAGAAACTTCTTCACGGTGAGGGTGACGGAACCCTGGCACAGGCTGCCCAGGGAGGTTGTGGAGTCCCCTTCTCTGGAGATTTTCAAAACCCGCCTGGATGCAGTCCTGAGTAACATGCTCTAGCTCTAGGCAATCCTGCTTCAGCAGGGGAGTTGGACTAGATGATCTCTATGGTCCCTTCCAACTCCAGAAATTCAGTGAAATTCAGTGAAATTCAGTGAAAAAGTGCAGACCTGCTTTAGGGTAACAAAGAGAAGAAAGAAATAGCATCTAACATAGGTAAAAGGCACTATATATACTGAACTTGGAGGCAACGTGAAGCTGCAGACTGATGAAGGACCAAAGGAGTAAAACTGTGTTGTCAGGTGTATAAAAAGGACTCCAAGTGGGTCATAGTGACAAAGTTAAAAAACACCAACATAGACATTGTATTCCTCGTGGTGAAAGACTCCAGATGCTCATAGGTTGCCATAACACCTTTTCTGCCAACCCCGGGGTGAAAACACCAACTTTAAGACTCAGAGGAGCAGTGGAGGTTTAGCATAACACCAGAGAATGGACTGAGAACTTTGCGTAAAATACTGTTAAGAATGTTGCAACTATTATTGAGGCTTTTTCTGTATTCCAATGGTGTTACTATCCTTTCTTTTTTGTAGCAACAAGTTCTGGAGTGGCAGTGACCAGACTTAAAATTTCAATTACATTAACAATAAATTCTTGGCTTTAGAATAAAATGTGTTTCCTTGTTACCCATGAACAAGATTTTGAGCATGACAGTACGTCCTTCCTGCTCCGAGTTGTGGGCAAAAAGGTTAGTTTTAAACTTGTGGACAGATTTTTAAATATCTAGGGGTGCTCATGCCTAACTGTGGCTATCCAGAACCTCAGTTTCCCATTTAGTCTCCTGAAGGTGACCTTAACTACTTCAGTTCAAAACATGCTGCTATCAAACTAGTTTCCTCTCTTAGGTGCCTTA